ATATATATATATATATATATATATATATATAGGTACACACACACACAGACACATATATATATATATATATATATATATATATATATAGGTAGGATACATATATATATATATATATATATATATATATATATATATATATATATAGGTGCGATATATATATATATATATATATATATATATATATAGGTATATATATATATATATAGGTGCGATATATATATATATATATATATATATATATGTGTGTGTATATATATATATATATATATATATATATATATATAGGTGCGATATATATATATATATATATAGGTGCGATACATATATATATATATATATATATATATATATATATATATATATATATACATATAGGTTCAATATATATATATATATATATATATGTGTGTGTGTGTGATACATATATATATATAGGTGCGATACATATATATTTATATATATGCGATATATATATATATATATATATATATATATATAGGTATATATATATATATATATATATATATATATATATATATATATATATGCATATATATATATATATATATATATATATATATATATATATATATATATACATATATATATATATATATATATATATATATGTTCAATACATATATATATATATATATATATATATATATATATATATATATATATATATATATATATATATATATATATAGGTTCGATATATATATATATATATATATATATATATATATATATATATATATATATAGGTTCGATACTTATATATATATATATATATATATATATAGGTAAATACAAACACACACACACACTCATATATATATATATATATATATATATATATATATATATATATATATATGTAGGTACGATACATACATATACATATATATATAAATGTGTGTGTAAATATATAAAAATTAGATAAAAAAACCTTACGTTAATAATCCGAAGTCCTTAAGTATTTTTTATTTAAAAAAAAAAAACAATGTTCAATACACAAGTAGATCCTATATTATAATTTATTATTTTAAATATGATTCGATCGCTACATAAGTGTTCTCATGTTTCAAAAACCGAAGCTAAAAACATCAATTTAATTATAGAAATTAAATTGAATTAAAGTACTCAGCTCTGTTTTACCCTAAAACGAATTTTGGAATAACAAATTTTCAAATTTACAGAGCTTTATAAGCATATTCTCTAAATTTCAAAATTTGTTATTTCAAAATTCGCTTTAGGATTAAACAGAACTACGTACTTTAATTTAATTTAATTTCTATAATTAAATTGAAGTTTTTAGCTTCTGTTTTTGGAACATGAGAACTCCTATGTAGCGATTGAATCATATTTTTTCAAAAAATATAATAATATATATATATATATATATATATATATATATATATATATATATTTGCGATACATAAATAGTTGCAAATTATAGTAAAAAAAATAAGTGATTGAAACGTCACGAAAACAAATGAAATGTCGTTGAAATCAAAACTTTTTTCTAGTGTTTCAAGCTTGTTCAAATATTTCAAGCACAATTATAATCCTCCAGGTTTCAACTTTAGACTATATGAGAGATGCTGTAGAATTCATCTTGAGATTAGATGGCTACATTAGTTGAAATAATATTTGGTAAAAGTATAATATTTAAACAAATAGCTCACGCAAAAACATTGTTGTTTCAAAGACAAAGAACCATTTTGTTTTAAAATGAAGGATTATTTTAGATGTTCAGAAGAGACAGTGAACATATATCTAAATTTATCTGACCTTTGATCTCTCCAAAGTTTTTCAACTGCTTGTCTTTTTCATAACACTCAACGAATTTTTAACCAGCCCAATTCAATCGACAGATCAGATTGTTCCACCTTATATGCCTCGGGAAATCTATTATTTGTTTCTAGTCGATTTCGCCATTTTCTGATCCTTTTTGGTTTCTTGCACTCAACAAGAATATATGAAATTTCAGGACAAAAGGACCCAGAGATCGAACTCACAAAAATCCAGGAATCAGCTCATCATTTCGATAAAGTCAAATTGGCGGCTGTTGTCACAAATCCTGCGGCCTTTTGTTAACTGGGGTAAAGAATGGCTTGTTAATTTTGACTGAGAGACACCATTCCATCAGCATGGCTGATGTTAACCTACAGGAGAGTGACTTTTTGCGCCTTATCGGGTGAACATTTTTCCGTTGACATGAAGTTTAAAGTCTACACTAAATCCATTCCTAGATAAGATGCTTTGAAAGTTACTTCACGCTATCGTGCTGGGGATTTTTTTTTCTCTTCGAGATCTATCTTACATATTTATAAATCTACCATTCGCCCATACTTAGAACGTATGGTCCGATGTTTCTGCTATTTATTTAGAGATACTTGATAAAATATAAAGGAAAATCAGCTATATTATTAGTCCTGACTTGGCGTCGCAATTTCAGTCACTTTCCAACCACCATGAAGTTGTTTCCTGTGTCTTTTCTCTAAATCTTTTCATAGTAATTGCTCGAATGAGCTCTTCGTTATTGTATCTAGACTATATGAATTCAAGCGCTTTACTAGATTAGCAACAAGGTGTTATTAATTTAATTGAATTCGCTAGATGTAACCATAAGTTCCATGCTAACATTTTCTTTTCTCGCACTTCTCGCTTGTGGAACTCTCTTCCGGCTCCATGCTTTCTAGCCAACTTTGATCTTCAAAAATTCAAATGCAGGGTCAATAGTTATTTACAATCTTCTTGATTACTCTTCTCTTGTCCCCATTCCTGTTATAATTTATGGGTACCCTAATGTACTAGTGAGCCAGTCAAAATGAGCTGATTCATTTTATAGTTCACCAATAGAAGGGTTAACCAATCAGAAAACTCAAAATATTCAATCCGACGTGTATAAAGGCAGCCATTTTGTTTTTTCTCCCAAAATATCTTCACTGCCAACCTGATATCGAAGACTTAAAGAATTACTTAACAGCCGCTACTTTATCCGAATCTTCACTGCCAACCTCTGATATTGAACACATTAAGGACTTCTCTGGATTCCATATTCAGGGACTAAGGCAAATATGGTCAACAATTCCTTCATAATGTTTACCGTTTTCTAATTATTTCACACCAAGTAACACATTGTGTCTTAGTAGCTTTACTGCCTTGTTTGTGGTAAATTCGATACAAAAAGCTAGATTTTAACCAATACTTTAATCTGCTAAGCTATCTACCATTTAAGCGGTGCTAGGAGTGCTAGGTATCATAATTTAAATTTTGAATATATATACGGGGTCGGGTTGGTCTACCTCCCCAGACGAGACTCTGACCCCGTCTGGATTCCTCACTGCCCAGAAAGTTTAACACGTGATTCAAATTCTATTAAGAAATGTTCATATTGCATCGACATTTTATCAACTGGCTTTGGGAACTCAGTTTACGGATGCGAGATTTTCATCCTGGTTTGCATCTATAAATTATGGAAAGAGGGTTCAGTTCAAACGTGTGGAAAGGTTATCGCGTATGATAGATAACTGAAGAATACTAAATGCACAATGGTTGAAAAGTCGTGAGTATAACAAGCAAAATTAGTACATTCTAACTTTTGTAATCCGTCACACCTACATAATACAAGTAAATAACAGGAAAACTTCAATATAAAATAATAAAGTATTTAAGTACCAACGCAATTAAAACAAATTAACAACATAGATTTAAAGAGTCAACAGAAAGATTATTGATTATTTATCATTTAATGCACGGCTGCGTAAAGCTGCTAAGAAAAGTACTAAATCGTCCCGAAACACTCGACTTTAACGTCCGGGTTAACCCAATAGTCAAATACGTAATTGAAACCGGTATTTACCAACCTCCCCACAAGGCAGGATGTGGATCAAGGCGGATTTTTAAGTGGGGTAAATCCGAGTCCGTAGGCTCGGGCAAAAATTTCCTGTCGACCCCATATATACGGGGTCGGGTTGGATTACCTCCCCAAACGACACTCTGAACATAAGCATAGCCCCGTCTGGATTCCTCACTGCCCGAGGCAGAAAGTTTAACACGTGATTGTGCAACAGGTAATTATAACCACCCCAGTCGGTGGCATGATATCTATTTATAGTAAACGGCGGTCTACATTTTTAATTTCTTGAAAGATTCGCGTTCAAACTCCATTGTCAGCAAAGGCACTTTTCATTTATATATGACACTATCTTAACAGGCTCTTAAGCACTATAGTATCGAAAATTAAATTCTGTGCTTCGAATGGAAAGCGTTTGAAGAAAAAAAATTCCCTTTGCTCTTCACGACATAAAGTTATGTAAAGTTTTCTTTGGAAACCTAACCTCTAACACAAACTTTAACACCCACACATATTCCTCATTCAGAAATTTCTTCTTCGTTGATTTCAGTTTTACTGTGAATATTTGCTATTTATTTTTATCGATTTCCTTTCTCTACCAACGGACAAGAATACTGCATGTCATCTCAATAAATATTTCCACATGATGGAGATATTAATTCAGCAACCAGGAGAAAAAAATGGCGGCTTGGTATTGTTCAATCGCCAAACATAGACAAACTGACTGCTTCACATAGAAACCTCAAGATCATTCCTCAGGACATAGAAGATCAGGTTAATGAATGATAAGTATCCCTGAGGTAGATGTATCCGCAAAATGAAGCGAGGTCTTGTCAGTTATTTTCTCAAGTTCAAATTGTATTAAGAAATGTTCATATTGCATCGAAATTTTATCAACTGACTTTGGGAACTCAGTTTGCGGATGCGAGATTTTCATCCTGGTTTGCATCTATAAATTATGGAAAATATGTATGATAATTTTGCTTTCACCTATTTTGCAGAATAGCTGGCATCATCGGAAAAAATAAACTTCAGTTTCCTACGAATAAATTTATATCGAGTTAAATATCTTAAATCTTTTTATTTCATTTCATCCTTATAGAAATCAAATTTAAATTTCGACTTAACAATTTTC